AATATGGGATCGGGGAAAAATGATAAATGAAAAAACAAAATTAGCAGGCAACTATAAATCAGAGACTTTCTGCAGGAAAGGGATCAAAACAGGGAGGAAAAAGGAGAAAGGACCCTGGTGAATTGGTGGTGGGGATTTTATGGGGTCTACACCTGAAAGGAGAAAGCAAATATTGTACAAAAATGAACAATGATATAAAATATAAATAAATTAAATATATACACATATATGCTAGCATAATATACATAAACTATGAAAAATGATAGTTTATACACACACACTTATAAAAGTTGTTGGATCTTATCAAATCCTCTTGGACATCTACTGAAATGTTCATTTATAACTTTCTTAAATTTAATCATCTTTTTATATTTAACCACATATAGTATTTATATATGTTTCTGTACTATATTTCTTTATAGGAAACTATCATTATAATTCTGGAATAAGTCCATTTGGTTCTGTTCATTTAATATACTGCTAAATTCTACGTACAAATTCTTTGCATCAATGTTCACACCACATAAAATTTAAAAAATTAAGTCTACTACTATTCATTAATAAAAATGAAGTAATGATATTATTTGCCAGAGAACCAATTACAAATGCTTCCTTAATTTCTGAGTTAGAGATAAATCTGGGTCAGGGTGACAGTCCAAAAAAAATACAACATCAAGGGAAGAAAATCAAACCCACACAGAAACAATTCAATTTGACTCACAATAGGCTTTTAAGAGGTCAGTTTGGGGGAGTAGAAAGGGCACATGGCAAAGTTCATGTTAATGATGAAGTTGTTATTGCAGGTTATCACTGTAAGAAACTGGCCAAAGAAAGAAGAAAAAAAAGGAATGGAAGCTTGAGGACAGCATGATTAGTTGGAATATTTTGCCTCTAAGCAAGCTCTGTAAATACCTGTCGTCCTCACTAGGGTTGTATCCCCAACACCTAGACCAGTCGAGCCAAAATCAAGCATTCAATTTATATTGTCTGTGAAAAATTGCAACATCCCAGAAAAAGTGAGACAAGCAGGATAAGCAAATGAAGGGGCTAACTTGGAAAAAAAGACACCCCGTTTCCTGGTTATACAGCACCATCACTGTAAACCAAGTCCTTTAACAGTACAAAAGTTAAATTCTAATCATGATATCATTCACTGAAGAAACAAAACTCTTGCACTCTCAGTTTTCTATAGTGCAACCCACAGCAGCATTCAAGGTGGGCTCCACGACTTCTAAGGAAAAAGTCAGAATCCAGAGTGGAGAATCATCCTGGTCCTTTGCTTCTGCTTTTCTCTGCTGTCGCTCTGACAACAGACTGGGCAAAAGATGTAAAACAAATCACCCAACTGTGCAGGGCTTTAGCAGCTGTGGTAAATGAATTAGGGGTGTATAGATTAAGTGTCAAGATGGACTCGTTCAGGATAGCAAAAAAACACGTTACTTATGCGTAGAATTTTCTGCGAGTAACGTGCTTAATCAGGAGGTAGCTAATAGGAAGTAAAGGCTAGTTTTCCACAAGACAAGGCAACAATTCTTACAGAACACATGATTAGTATATTTTCAATTTGCAAATGATTTTACACCAAAGTTGATGAATAAGGGTAGGATAACAAGGTGGTGGGGAAAACGGCCATTAATTAGGATAAAATGGTAAATTTTCAGGAGCAAAGTTGCTGAAGCAAATACATGCACTAAGATGACTGACCCGCTTCTATGCCCCTGAGTCAGTGAAAACGGAATGGGGGGGGGGGGGTGAAGGGGGCAGGGAGGTGGGTAAAGAATGCGTCGTACACCGCTACCCCGCAGCCGCGGCTGGGAAGGATACAGGTAAGCGCCAGGTCGCTGTCGCCCGCCGCTCAAACGAGGGATGAGGAGGGCTCTGTCGCGGGGGTCCGAGGATTCAGTGGCCAGTCCCGCGACGGCGCTCCGGGCTCCCGGCCTCCCGGCCAGCATCCTTCACCTCTGAGCCACCTCCAAGCTCGCCTCTAGCGCCTCCCTCATGGCAGCTCCGCTTTCTCCTCCTCCTCGGCCCCTCCCCACACTCTGTCTCTCAGGGCCTGCGTCACGGGCGCAAAAGGGTTGGTCGCGACAACTCTGGCTCCCGCGCAGCGGCGCCGGGGACTGTGGTGGCGACGGCGGCGGCTGCGGCGACTACCTTGCTGCGCAAAAGAAGAGATAGCGGCAGCGACCCCACCGCCACCGCCGCCATCTTGACAACCAACCGACGCCGCGTCCTTCGCGACGGAAACCAGGGCGTCGAGCGCGAGGGGGCGTGGCGTCTCCCGAGGTAACCAATAGGAGGCGCCGGCGGCCTCTGCCGGGGGCCTGAGGCTGGTGGGAACCGGCGTCCGCTGGGACACTGAGTTTTGGCAGAGCCCTGATGTGAGTTGGGCGCTGGATCCTGCTTAGATTCTCTCTCCTTTTTTGAAAGGATGTTTTCGTGGGTGTATTGCGAGCGATAGAAGACAATAAGACGTAAAGTCTCCGAATAAAGGCGAACTGGGGATTCTGAAATGATTGCCTCAGGGATCGTTCCGTGTAGGACTTACTAACTACCGAATCCTGCAGTGGGGTTTGAGTTGTGAGACTTTCTGGGGCATCACTATTCCGAAACACCATCTCTCTTGGAAAAAAAAAAAAAGGTTTTGTAAAGTGGAAATTTCCTTTTTCTAAATTTTCTCATCCACTCCACAATGTTCGTCTTTTGGCCCCATCCCTATTAATAAGGCCAACGTTTCTAAGACACCAAATGGTGCCTGCCTTGCTGCCAGATTCTGGAAATAGACCATCAAGACATAGGAGGCCTGGAAAGAAAGCCAGATTTAATCTTGCAATCTCCTAGGAAGATACGCCAAAAACAGATCATCCTTTTGAAATTGTTTCAGGAGGTATGGAAAGTGAATCAGTTTTTCAGTCATCATTATTATGACAATGCAAATGACAATTTGAAAATAAGCTGAAGCAGTTGTTAGGTTCCACTGTAAAAGTACACACAAATGATAGTATTCCAGTCAGGTCTTTTCTGTTTTTTGTTGGAAAAAAATCCCAGAGAAGAAGCACTCACCCGCTATCCAAATGCCTTACCCTTTTGAATCAATTTGCTCATTTTCAGAGTTCAAATAACTAAAATTTCCAGTCGAAGTTATTTAAAACAGTTTTTGCAAAATTGAACGCAATGACTCAAATTGGAATGTGCTCTGTTTAAAATTTTAAAGTGCCACAACAAATCCAGTTTTTATTTGAAACAAAAGGTATAAGCCCTCTTCAGAACCATGCTAGAGGTTGAATATGTAATTTTGGCAAAGGATAGTTAGATATGGGCAGATGGACAATTAATTATCCTGGCAAGTTTTAAACTGTTCTAGTGATGGGTATTGACCTTGATTCAATTCCCATTGTTAGCATCACAAGTCTCTTCCTCTAGTGCACATTTATGGACAGTAAGTAAAATGGGACAGTATGAAGTAAAAAAAAAGGAGAATATTGTCTTTACTAATTGCAATATTTAGGCACATTTAGCTTTCCTGAAAGTCTAAATTTTGCTATCAGTTTGGTGTCTTGTAATGTGTGGATTGCTTTGTTGCATTGTATAAGAAACCATGACCTGGTTTCTCAATTGCCCACAAATGCTTGTTCATGTAATCATACATTTATATATTGATTTACAATGATAACCAAGAAGAATAGAAATTTTTAACACAATATTGACAAATTTAACACAAAATTTTTAACAAAATTTTTAATCACAGATCTATTTTTGACCTGTATATTCTTTCTTCAAAAAATCAGCTTTCCACATTATAAAAAGATTTTTTAGCCCTATATTATAAAACAAGCCCTTTAGATAATTGTAAAATATATAACTTTAAGACAGACATTTAGAAATTTCCTCTCAACAGGAAAGAAGTATGATTTCAGCAATAAAAGAATATTATACTGAAGTCAATATATTTTATTAGATGAATTAGCTGAATAAAGTATATTGCTTAATTCTTTCCTGCTTCAGGACCAGAAAACAATTCATTCTTTTATTATAAATTGAGTTCTTTTTAAGTAAGAAGCACTGTGAGCAAAATGGCAAAATCCCTATACTCATAAAGCTTGTACTTACTGTTTCTTCCTCACTAGAATATATTAGGTTGTGAAAATGCTATGAAGAAAAATAGAGTAGTGGAGGGGATTAGAGATTGATGTCGGTTCTATTTTTGACAGGGTGCTCAGGGAAGGCCTCCAAGGAGGGGAAATTAGGACAGAAGTCTGAAATTAGAAAGCAGGTTGCCATGCAAATATATGGATGAAGAATGTATTATAGACAGGGATGGTTTAAGTACAAAGGCTCAGAATTACATTTGATATATACAAAGAGCAAGAAGACTCCATGTCCAGAACAGTGAGCTAAGAGACTTATGCTAGGACATGAGATTGGATAACTACCTCAGATTCACTGGGACTTATCTAATATGCAGGGAATCAATATAAAATCCATCTTCCAATGGAGTGAAAGCCACTGGAGAACTTAGAGTAGGAAAGTCATATCTAATTTAACCTTTAAATAGAGAATCACTTCAGCTGCGGTAGGGAAACTATAAGGAATAAGACTAGAAACAATGAACCTGGTTCAAATGGTGTTACTGTAGGTAAAGGGAGAGATTATGGAGATCTAGGCTATGAATGTGGCAATGGAGGCAAGGGAAATGTTCAGCATTTTAACCTAAGTCAATAGGACATGCTAATGAATGGCTGTGGCATGTGAATGGAAAAAAAAAAACCCAAATCCATCAGAAAGAATCAGATATGATTCTCAGATTTAGGGGCAAATAAAGGGTATTGCCATTTACTGAGAAGGAAGAAATTGGTTGTGAGTGGGTAAGGGTGTAGTGGGCTTTCAAACATGTTACATGTGAGGGGCCAACTTCATTAACATGGTGTTATAAATTATTAATGATCTTCTGTTTACAGAGGAAACTAATAAGCCCTTTATGGTCATATGGGTTACACAGCATGTTCACACACTACCTGACTGTGCCTATTACAACTGTTGAGTTATGTGGGACAGCCGTGGTGAGCTTTCATTTTCATCTTGGCTGAGGCTATTTTTTTCCATCTTCTGCTCAAGTATTTTCTTGCTCAAGTTTTTCTTGAATTTGTCTCTGGGCAAACTGTGAAGGTAAAAAGAATTTTAACATCTGGATGTGTTCACATTACTAAAATGTTGCCATTCTCATAAGAATTCAACTAGAAGTTCAGGGTTAAAGAAAATATATTCTTCTATTCATGTGTATAATGTAGATTATAAAGGTCACCAATATTGCCAGCAGTGTTAGAATAACATTACAGATAAGTCAAATGATGATGAAGATGGTGATGATGATGGCATCTAAGTGCTTGATGCATTATGTTCAGTGTGCTAGGTGCACATCAAATTACTGACTTCACAATCCCCATTACACAAAGAAGTAATTAGGTTATTAGATCATATAGCCCAATGTTCCTGAGCAGAGGAGTAAGGGATTGAGATTCAAATGCAGGCTTTCAGTCCCAGACTTCTAACCCTCCCATAGTGCTTGTTGGAGAAACTCTGAGAAAGTTTCAGGAGAATAAGAGGTAAGAGTGGCTTAAATAATAGTTGGTGAGGAGAATAATTTGCTTAAGATAGTACATTATTAATATTTGAGTGCCTCTTGTGTACAGTCACTAGTACTTGTAAAAACTGTGATCTGTTCCCTGCCCTATAGTTCTTAGGCTGGGAAAGAAGATGAAGAAAACAAGATTCAGGAACATTTTCCTTTGCCTCTTAATTTTCAGGTAATGATTATATAAAAAAGAGACAAGAAGGAGGCATAATAAGGTTGAATTTGAAGACTCATCACAGACATCAATCATCAGAGAGTAGTCATTTTGAATAACAAGTGTTCCTTTATGTTAAAAATTCTGAAGTTTCAACATTATAGATTTAACACATTTAAGTCAGAGATTTGGCAATTAGGTGGTTAATATCACCATAATTGATAAGCCAATTTCAATTAGAAACATTTTAAATCTGAGTTATCTATTCTTAATACCCATATTGATTAAATTTCTATTTAGCATTTTGTAGAAATAGTTTCAATTAATACTCTTTCCACTACCTCTCTCCCTATCTCCTTTCTGCCGATTTTTTATTTTACAACAGTTTATTTTTACATCATTTTGTACATTTTTTTTCCATCTCAATTGTAATCCCCACAGGTTTCCCATCACCAAGTAACCCATGTGCCATCATCATAATCCCATGCATTCCCCCACCCCATTTTTGATCCCATTCCCCACTCCACCCCCACAAAATGTGTCTGGTATATGGTTGTTCATTATTCTTGTTATTTTCTCGCCTGGTCCATTATACTCCTGCTATGAGTGAAACCATCCGGTATTTTTCTTTCTCTTTCTGGCTTATCTCACTAAGCATGACCTTTTCCAGCTCCATCCAAGTTGCTGCAAAAGACATGTGTTTCTCTTTTTTGGTTGCTGAGTAATATTCCATTGTATATATGTACCACTTCTTTTTTTTTTATTTTTATTTTTTTTTTAAAGATTTATTTATTTGTGCATACAGAACTGGGGTACAGGCCAGAGGCTCAGGGGCGGTGAGAGGCTTCACCAGAGACAGAGTGGGGAACAGAACAGGCAGATCAACGAAGTACACTGCTGAGGGGAGCAGCGGGCGGGTCAGGAGAGGTCTGCCATGCCATGTGGTCTCCTCCGGGGCAGGCGGGAATCGAACTCATGTGGAAGAGGCTTTAGATTCTCAGTGCTGTGCTTTAACCCGCTGCGCCACCAGGGAGGGCCGGTGCCTAGATTTTTAAAGGAGCCCAGCGAGTAGGAAGCTGCTGGTGCTCCCTGATCAGAGTTGCAGGGTTCAGCTAATCCTGCCTGTGCGGCTTCCCTTATGGTAACTCCCCAATCACCGGTTCTCCCTGGGTTATTTTCCTTCTAGTGAATCCAGGGTGTTCTCATTTGGGTTGAAACTCGTAGCATGTAAGTCTACAGTCTGTTTTTATATAATCCCGTGCGAGTTTGGATGTAGTAGTCTAGGCATTTTTATTCTGCCGCCATCTTGCCGGTTCCCTAGCTGGTAGAGCTGATCATCGGCTTTGCATGGATCCCAGGTACTCCAGATGGGGTCTGCAGTTTCAGCGGTTTTTCCCCTACCCAGGTATTGAGGATCAGATTTGCAGTCTTTCCGCAGCCTGGGCTCCACTCACTGAGCTGAGCCATCACCCTTCACCTCCAGGGTTTAGCGTGGGGCAGCCCGCTGAACTTCCAGGCACCTGGGTTTTCCCAGGAGTTCCCAGAAGGGAACTCCCCCGATTCCCCCTCAGTTATCTACCTTCTAGTGAGTCCAGGGTGTTTTCGTTTGGGTTGAAACTTGCAGTAAGTAAGTCTATAGTCCGTTTTCAGTCCTCAATTCCTATGCAAGCCTGGACGCAGTGATCTCCGTGTTTACCCTGCCACCATCTTCCGGAAGTCCTCCCTTTCTTCCTATTTTTATGTAAACAGATTATTGAGGTATAACTGTCTTCTCAAGAGCATTTTTTCCAAGACCATAAAAAAATACACTCATGAAAACTATGATTTTACAAGCTCATTACCTGTCTGTGTGTGTGTCTGTCTTTCTACCGATCATCTCTTTATCTCATCATCTATCTATTGCCTAGATACCCAAAGCCTGGATTTATAAATCAAGCAAGTAGTGATTAAAAAGAGTTATTACTTAAATTTTCAGAATCTCCAGAGGTCAACTTATTTTTCATATGCAAGGTATTGTTTGAAACATGGACATGGAAACTAGTAAGCATTGGCTTCTGGGCTTATTTTGTACACTTTCTAAAGGTATTACTCCGCACTGTAGCTCTTTCCACAGAGAGCTTATTGATCATTGAAGTTTTTCATTCCTCTGAAAAAAATAGGAAGTATCTTTCCCAGGCTTCATTTGTGTTCTTAAATATATGCAGGAAATATATGAGGAAAAGCCCTACAAGGTAACTTCATACATCATTCTATGGTAAGAATTTCTGCAATATTATCTCAGCTACAAAAAAGAAGAATGATAGTTTTCAAGATATATATTAGAACTTTGAAGAGATTAATTTACTAACAAATGTGGAAAACGTGTTTACTTAGAAATGTTAAGATTTTCCTTAAATGATAGTAATGGTAAACAGTGGAAACCATAAACTGAGGATTTACTTGTAACACATTTATAAAGGAACTGCAAAATTTTAAAAGAAATATCTGGTAGCTAATAGAATTTCAGGAGGAGAGGTCTGCTATACTATGTGGATAGCTCCCTGTCCAGGGATCCACTGACACCATAGAGGTGATACTACCAAGACTTAATCTCTGGGGCACCAGGGAGACCCCTCTACTGTTGATTTTTATTGATTTTTTTGAGGTAACATTGGTTTACAACACTGAATATGATTTAGGATTTAGGAGTTTCATTCCTTCTCAGAGTATGTCACCACACCATGGCCACCATAAAGTACCAATAGTTCTTTACTGTGGATCATTGGGCCTCTACCCATTTTGTTGCCATACCCTTCCGTGCTTCTCTGGTTATCTCAATTCTGCATTCCTATTTATAAGACTTGTTTTGGTTTAGTGTTGTCAGTTCCTTTGTTTTGTTTCTCTATATTCCACATGTGAGTAAATCATCCAATATTTGTCTTTTCCTTCTGATTTGTTTACTTAGTATAATCTCACTTAGTATAATTCTTTCATTGGGCTGAAGTACTGCTTCAATACTTCTCACCTTCTAAAATGAGAACTGATACTCAGGATGTTGCCTCTCAACTATATCAGTTTAAATTATTTGGGGGCCCTCCCTGGTGGTTAAAGTGCAGCACTGCAAGCTGGCTGCAGCTACTTCTGTGCATGTTCAATCCCCAGCCCAAGAGGTAACCCACATGGCGCGGCAGACCTCTCCTGAATCGTCCACTGCTCCCCTCAGCAATGTACTTCATTGACCTGCCTGTTCTGCTCTTTACTCTGTCTCTGGTGAATCCTCTCACTGCCCCTGCATCTCTAGCCTGTACCCCAGTTCTTTATGCATAAATAAATCAATCTTTAAAAATAATAAATTATTTGGGGATACATAAATTATTATGGAGCAAAATTTTATTAAGAAGTGTTGGAAACATGCTTTCTTGATTATCCCTGAGTCAAACAAAATAATACCAATTACAATATAAAACTTTGAGTATTTAGACAGAATGACATATTAATGTGTTTACATATTTATTCAAGATCATGTATTCATGGTTTTCCACTATAGTTATTTTTAATAACAATATAGTATTTAGTAAATACTTTTTATTATGATTTAAGGAAATTTGCAAAATTCAATTGTTTCCTGTACATGAAATACCAAAAAACTACTAATATGATGGATGAACAAAGGAATTCCTTGGATTAATTATCTAACCAGGCATGGATGATTTAGCGCTATGTAGGCATTGCATGTGCACACTGACATAGGGTGATCTAGTTAGCAAGAGAGACAGTCTTTTAATTTTGTAATGCAGTCTCTACCTAGACATCTATTTAATAGTAAACACCAGGCAAACAGAAAGGGAAAAAAAGACCTCATTTGAGGGACATAAGGTCAGGTGAGCAAAACCAGGAAGGATTGAAAAAATATACTGTGAATGCTGTTAAAATGACACAAAAGAGGCCCTCCCTGGTGGCGCAGCGGGTTAAAGCACTGCACTGAGAAGCTAAAGCCACTTCCGCATGAGTTCGATTCCCGCCTGCCCCCTGCCCCGGAGGTGACCAGATGGCGTGGCAGACCTCTCCTGACCCGCCCGCTGCTCCCCTCAGCAGTGTACTTCGTTGATCTGCCTGTTCTGCTCCCCACTCTGTCTCTGGTGAAGCCTCTCGCCACCCCTGAGCCTCTGGCCTGTACCCCAGTTCTGTATGCACAAATAAATAAATCTTAAAAAAAAAAAATGACACAAAAGAGAAATTTGAGATTTGAGTTGTGACATCTAAGAAATTTGCAGATGATAGGGCCTAGGGCATGAGTCATCAAAGATGAGTAAGTGCTGCAAAAGTGGCAAAGGTCAGAGACATCAGGTTCTGGGGAACTGCTTGAATTTGGTGGGGGCTGGTGGGGTGTGACCAGGGGGGTCAAGGTGTGTAAGGAAGCTGACTTAAAGAAATAGGAACTAAATCTTGCCACATCAAGGAGCCACCAAAGAGTTCGAGCAGGGACACAAAATGATCAGATGGGCAGCTAGTGTGGAGAATGTCCTCAGGAGAGCGGAGGGAGGAGCCAGGGAGGCCAGGTAAGGAACTAGTCACGCTTTAGGTAAGATGTAAAGAGCAAACCTGCGACTAGTCAAATGAAGAAAGGAGCAGATAAAAAAGCATTGAGTGGGAGGCAACTGGTCCTCCATTTAATGAACTCAGTTTAGCTATATCTTTATTGATCTGTTAAAATCAGTGAAGGGATTTGGTGTAGAAAGATGGGTATTGTCATACATCTCAGAGCTGGATTTATAAGAGGCTTATCAGAGATGTCAGCTTTAGAATTCAATGGAAGAGTTTTGATCAAATATAATTTTTTAAAGATTTATTTATGCATACAAGAACTGGGGTACAGGCCAGAGGGGTGTGGGTGTGTGGTGGGTGGGGGGGGTGGTTAGGATTCACCAGAGACAGCATGGGGGGCAGAACAGGCAGGTGTACTGAAATACACTGCTGAGGGAGCAGCAGGTGAGACAGGGAGCATCACAGTGTTTGAGCAGGGAATACTTTAGCTGCATCAGGTGGGTCAGCTCCGTGGCCAGGGATCCAACTCATGCCAGTGTGTGTCTGCCGACAGCTTGGTCGTGCTGAGACTTTAACTCTGGCATCACCAGGGAGGCCCTCAGATATAAATTTATTGTTGTGTGTGTGCACGTGCACACACATGCATGTGTTGAGGTTAGTGAGTTCAAGAACCAAGTTCTCATTTTGACCACAGGAGTTTGGAGAAAGCAGAGCCATTCTTTTGCTCACAAACCAGTTCAGTTCCATGGTGACAAGAATGCCTTGTCATTCTTGTCTTTTCCTGCCTCAGATTTTCCTGAACAGGTCGATACATTTGTAAGTTCTGTTTTAGAAACATAGTGCACTATTATCTAGGAGACTGGAGGAGCCGACCTGTCGGGGAGTAGTTTTCCTCCCAGATGATGTGCTTTCCTAAAACAGGAAGCAACTCTGGCTCTTTGAAAGGCATGGCTGTTGCAGAACTGGATGCGTTGAAAATAGCATGGCTTTATATAACTTCATTCTGGGCTCCCCTTTACGATTTATTAAGGATTAGTCTTCAGTTAAGAAGAAAAGAAAGCTTTAGATTTCCTCCCACCTGTATAAAACATCTTTGACATGTTTGAAATGTTTCATGAGACATAAAAATTGAAAAGAAAAGAAACAAGACAAAATCACTTGGAATTGAGCAGTTTGGTACTAAAATGTGGTGTAGTAATTCATAGGAACCTGGGTCTCTGAGAAAAATGCTCCATAAACCTTACAAATGTGAGGTATTTCAGGTATTATAAACTAATAACTGGAAGCTTCCAGCAAATAAGGCTTATCAAGGACCTAGTCTATAAACTTTATTTCTTACAAAAGGAAGGGTATACGGTGTTACAGAGGATCTTCTGTGTGTCAGGGACTAAGACAATCACCTTTATATGTTATTTTGTATTTTTATCATTGTATTGTGTCTCACTTATTTCCTATAACCACCCTTGGGGAGGTGGTTAACATGATGATTAAGAGGATGGACTCTGATCTTAGACCACCTGCCTTCAAGTCCCTGAGCTGCCATTTTCTTGATACCAGTTTCCTCACTTAGGACACCTACCTCTCATGGTAACATGTGAGTTTTTGTGAGCTTTAAATGAGTGAACTTGCCTATGGCTCTTAAAATATTACCTGATACATAATAAGAGCAACGTAAGGTTTTGCTCTGATGATCATCATCCTCAGAAGAGGAATCCACAACCCAGAACAGTCTAAATCTGTTCACCATTATATGGTTGCTGATGGTAAAGCATGTTCCAACCCAGATCTGTGCTTCACTGTGAACTTCTGTCACAGTTCTGAGCACAATGTTATTTCCAGACTGCCTCAGCGATTCAGAACAAAGGCAACAAATGTACTTCTTCTGGAAACCAAGGGGCAAGCCAAGCTTTGTAGAGGCCATCTGTGTTTTGTGGTGTGATAGACACTTTTTCTTTGCATGTATATGCCTTACCACGTAAGCTGTTAGCGTAACACTGTGATGTAGGTAGTCGATGTGTTAACAATAGATGTATTATTATAATGCTATTATATGTGAAGTCTCTTAGCTAATGGTGCTCCCTGAGGAAGGAAGCACTTGACTCTGACCCAGTCATGATTTTTTTCTCTGGATAATTGGTGTAGTAAGGGTTGAGTTTATATATATTATATTTGTCAATATAATGAAAAGTAAAGCATCTTCGAGTAAAATGGACTGTCCATATCCACACAATATGTTTACAATCCCTGGGAAATGAACACTTTGGAGAGGTCATTACAGGGTGTACAGTTGTAGTGTCACCACCAGACAGGCCCTGGTGCAGCGTCCTTTCTTTTCAGTAGCCCTTTCTTCCCGATTTAGTGATTCCCTGTCCACTGTATTTAATCTACTTATTCCTTTGGGTGTTCTTCTCATTCATATAGATTTCCTTTACAATTATGCCCCCAAGAGAAGCTAAATTCTGATAGATACTATTTTCTGGACAACAGGATGCATAATTATAAAATATGTTAAATAAATGTTGATTCCCAAATGAAAATTTTCAATAGTATAGAATATTAATCACTAATGTGTTATTAATAAAAGTTTTTTTTGCAGTAGAAATATTTTAATACTATTCTTCCATGTATTTTCCCCTTAGCTCAAAAATTGAGATTCTTTACCTTCTAAAAGTTAAATCATCATATCATTTAATGGAATTATTAACAATTTCAGATAGCACTGTCAGGTCTCCATAGTAAAATTATTAAGTCATAAATGTACACTTGAAAAACCTAGGTTTAGATCATACTGTACTAAAGGTACGGTTGACTGACACCAAAACACCAATGGTTTATATATTATCCACCCAGAAGGATCTAGTTACTCCTTTGAGGTAGTTTTCTCTTATTATGTGGAATAGGAAAGGCATCCAACTAACTTAATTATATTTAAAATTTTAAAATAGGTTCCTCCCAGGTGGCGCAGAAGTTAAAGCACAGCACTAAGAAGCTCAAGCCACTTCCACATGAGTTCGATCCCCGCCTGCCCCGGAGGAGATCCACATGGCGTGGCAGACCTCTTCTGACCCGCCTGCTGCTCCCCTCAGCAATGTAGTTCGTCGATCTGCCTCTTCTGCTCCCCGCTCTGTCCCTGGTGAATCCTCTCACCCTCCACATCTCTGGCCTGTACCCCAGTTCTGTATGAATAATTAAATCTTTAAAAAAATAATAAAATTTTTAAATAAACTTGAAAAATTTACAGTTTCAAAATTTTGTTTTTCTGGCAACCTTTGCTCAAATGATAAACTAGAAAAAAAACTACAGTTTTTAAATCTTTTATGCTTTATAAAGTAAATCCCTTTGTTGCAGGGGCTAATCTTATCTCCAGAGTAGGCAGAGTGAGGCATCATACTTGTCTGCTTTAATTAGCTGATGGATATTAGAAAATAATAGTGTGCTTTGTCTTGAAGCCTACTAAAAATATTTTTTATTTCCCTTCTTTTCCATGGTCATAATTTCTTTGGGTGACAAGTGATCTTTTGTGATTGGATAGGAAGTTAATAGTTTAAAAACAACTTTCACTCAAGCTAAAGATCTATTGACAAGCTGGTACATTTTTAAACTGAATAAAACAAGTTAGTTTTACATCTATATTTAATAAGATTTTGAGAAGAAATTCCTACTGGAATTGTGTCATTAACAGAATATATTATATGCTAATATAATTTTTATATAGCAACATAAAATTATAAAATTTTCTGAGGACTTTTGTGCATATAAAAATTTAGAAATTTTGTGAAGAAATTTCTACTGGAAATTATGTGTCATTGACAGAATATATTATATGTCAATGTAATGTTACATATAGCAGTATAAAATTATGAATTAGTTTTTCTTGGGGCTTTTTTGTGCATTTAAAATTTATGAGACTGACATTACATTTTATTGATAGTCCTTACCACACTATAAAATACTTTTTTTCTATAGATACTATCTCAGAGTTACTAACACTAATTTTTTATACCCATTGACAAGATGTCAAAAATTGGGAATTAAGTGGGAAATTGCTTTAAAATTATCTAAATTATTTTGCCTGCAGATTAAAAAATGGGCTGGAACTGATGTGGAAAGGGAAGACTTCTAATTGTGTGATGAGTGAGATGCATAAAAATCACCTCTTTTGTGGGGAAGTGTTGTTTCTCTAGTTTCCTTCCCACTGCCCTTCTCTGTCTCTGTGCAGGATGTTTTTGCTGGAGTGGAGGGGACTGCTCTGCTTCCCCCTCCGTCACGTGTAGGGATCCTCTAGGGCTGCCTTCTTATGGGCAATTTACATATCAGCTCCTGTTGAGACAGGACACTGAGATCACGCCTGCACAAATGCAGTCTGAACACAGGCCTTCTGTGCTCAGTGAGGAAAGAGCAATGAGGAGCAGTCACATTGGCACATTTAACACTTCAAAAAAAAGCAATGTTTTAGTTCCAAGGAAAAGTTAATTTGTAAAAGAAACATCAATATGCTATTGCTAATCAGTACTTATAGTACTCAACTGAAAAGTAGACTTGAAGAATAAAAGGATTAAGAATCTGAATATAGGCCCTCCCTGGTGGTGCAGGAGGTTAAAGCACAGCACTAGGAAGCTAAAGCCACTGCAGCATGAGTTCGATCCCTGCCCCAGAGTTGAACCACATGGCATGACTGACCTCTTCTGACCCGCCCTTTGCTCCCCTCAGCAGTGCACTTCGTCAGTCAGCCTGTTTTGCTCCCCATTTTGTCTTGGGTGAATCCTCTCACCACCCCTGGCCTCAGACCTGTACCCCAGTTCTGTATGCATAAATAAATCTTAAAAAAAAAACTTAAAAAAATCTGAACATATAAATGAAATACAATTTTACTGAAAGTCTCAGTGGAATTATCTCCTTTTTCTCTAGAGTTTAGGGTGAAATGTGAGTTTTATATCAAAGAAAATAATGTATTTTATGTTTGTCTTTTCTGGGTCCATTTTAGGTAATATGTGACGTGGATTACAGAGGAAGTGGATGGACTATGAAATAGAAAAGAATATGGGGTCTCTGACTTCCAAAGATTGTGGTGGCACTGGTGGATTTTATTACCTTTTATTTGTTCCCTATATTTTTTCTTCTTTTTGATATGACACCTATAGACTATCTCTCTATTGGTCAAATCATTAGTAAGAGTAGCAAATCCTTGTGGATTTCAACTGTAAATTGAATAACTCTCTATATGTCAAATTATTGAAAATAAACAGATCTCTCAGTTAGGATCTGGAAGTCTTTTTGTCAAGACCTGTTAGAATGCAATTTTGGTGAAAATTCAAAGTTGGGCATTTATTAAGTGTCTCCTTTGCACCTGGCAGGGTTCTGCCAGGGACTCAACAACTGTCTGTAGAACGAAAAGCCAAATGGCAGGGTTATCTTGGACCCTGAGGTTCCTGAGATGTGCTGTGTATACACAAGCAAAGGAAATGGAAAACATGGCTGTACAAATTTAAATTATGCGAACCGGAAGTAGCATGTTATACAAATAGTAATAAAAACCGTGGAATTTGAAATTTGAGAAAAATAAACCTTAGGAGAGTTATAAAATCTTTTTTATGTTATTGCTACCTGGCAACATCACTTTTTCTGGGTGACAGAAATTGTAGAATTATGCATTTCTTGGAACATCTCTGGGTGAATTTTGATAATTTTTTATGTTGTTATTTTAATGTGTTTATAATTAAAATCTTAAACAGCCTGTTAATGTTATCTATGGATTCAGTAGGTGGTGGTGTTAATCTTGCTACTAACCACCCTATTGCACACCAGTGACTTTAGGAGGGGCAGGAAATGTAATAAAAAGTTAGGAATGAGGCCAAGTAAATGTTATGTTATAGAATGCCAAAAACAAATCTCAAGGTGCATTGGACAGTTTGGAAAAACTACAAAATTGGAAGAATACAAAATCTTGTAGTTTTCATCATTAACTCTAAAAATTGACAGGTGAGCAATTATCTTCTTTATTTCATGCCTATTTCTACATGGAAATTTCATGCCTATTTCTATGTGGAAAGAATTTTGGTTAAAAAGGTGTTCAGGAAGGTATCTGTCACGTAAACAGATTGCTCTGTATTTGGTGTATTAAAAAATTAACTTCAGATTAAGAAAAACATATGGCTAACTTTTAAATTTGATGTTAGGCAGGTACGCTGCATTGGAGAGTCATAGGCTGTGAGATACTAAACAGATCCCTTGGTCTTACTTTCTCTCTCTCTCTCTCTCTCCTTCCAGTGCCTACTTTCTTTCTGCACATCTTCACTATCTTTTTATTTCTATTTGGGCATGTAGCTAAAACGTCCCTGAATATCTTGGAGAGGACATTCTACCTTAGCTATAGTTTTCATAGTCTGAAAATTGTCACAACGTTCCCCATCCCTCGAGATTTGTCTTGACTAGATCTTCACCTCCTCCTTCAGCATCTTAATGATGAAGGTAGAAAGGTCTGTGCAGAGCACAGTGTACAGAGGAAGGCTCAGCCACGTGGGTGGAGTGAAGCACAAAGGCATTGGCTAGGATATGCATGTAAGAAACATCCGGCCTGAATGAGGGACTTAATAATTCTTGTGGATCTAAACCTATCCTGGAAATATTGACCCCAAACCTGGGAATACTCCAGTGTTACTACAGTAAAATGCCATTCATACGAAACAAGCTGCATTATAACAGAATACTTTTTCCTCAAAAAGTGTAAGTCTCAGAGACAGAAGAAAATAATTTCAAATGAGCATTTTCAAGAAACATTTCATGAGGAACTGCTGTGTTGGAGGTTAAATCTCTTATCTACATCAGAACACATAATTTTATTACTTGTCATGTTTCAATTTTTTAAAAAATTGTTGATATGTCTTAATGTAAATCTTGCTTTTTTCTTAATGCTTAAGGAAAATTTTCAATTTAATTTGGGGAGATTAAGAACAAAACTGAGGCTGACTATCCCCAATCTAGGGAAACAAAAACGTGTTTTTGTGTGCAATAATTTTGATAACCTGAGCTGGGGCCTCAGGTTCCTCAAGGATTTATGTGAGCTATTTCAGTTGCTGAAACACAAAAATGATTTGTTATATTAAAAGGTTATTCTAATTTGTATAATAAATATCTTTAAAAAAGCATATTTTTAAAGGTGAATTTTGAGTAGGACTAAAAAAAGCCTTTTACGTAATTAAAAGAAATACCAGTTTTATGCTGTATGTTGCACTGGAATCTGAAAGTGACACATACTCTTATGCATCATTTGATAATTTTTGGCTAGAAGATGAAATGAGATTTAAAAAAAATGCACTTAGGACAGTATCCAGGAAATGCTGATAAGTTTTTTATAATTAAATTATCCAGAAGACTCACTAGCAGGTGAAGATTAAAGTAATGCATTTCTCTTGGTATTTATCTGATAGAGTTTCAAGAGAAAGAGAAAGAGGGAATGATTCCAATTGGTTGCATCCAGAAACTCTTCATGAAAGAATAGTTTTCAACAAGAAGTTGCAGTTAGAATCAAGCTGCAGTTAGAATCAAGTAGTCATTCCTATAGAATCTGATTCCTATAGATATCTGCTTTTGCCAGAGAGTGACATGTTGGTATCTGTATAGTCAAGACCCACTGATCTGTACTTGGAGGGATGGGCAAGATTTTGGCAAATGAATGTTGGCAAAAGAGCAGTTTGTGTCAAGGCACAGAGAGAGGAATATTATCAGGCACGAAATTATCTGGTATGGTTGGAATCTATTACTGCTAAGGTGGCTCAGCATTGGGACATTGGGTGGAAGTCTGAAATTCAAATTTTGATATAGAGGGAACATTTTAAAGAGTTTTATCATTTTTAATGCTTCTGCTCTAAAAGTAAATACAGAAAGAAAAACTTATATAGGGTTTCTCAGAAAGACAATTAGGATCTAATTCAGACAATAACAATCTATAATGATAAAAGCTTTTTATTACAGAGCCATCAAGATTGCTATTCCCTACTCTACCTTTCCCCAGTACAATAGGTAACTTCAACTGCTAATCAGATAATATAACCAAGATAAAAGAAAGGTGTCAGTAGACTGTAAAGATAAACACATAGATAAAATTGGGGTGTTAAGTGGGATCAGGTGTGTGGCAGAAGTGGGCCACAAATTTGACTTCGATTTCAGAGCAAAAATAGAAATATGAAACCAAACTTTCAAAAATGCACCAATCTGTGCAGGAATTTTTGAAGCAATAAAAGACAAGTGTGAAAAGGCCGAAACACCCCACTTTCACCATGGGATTAAACTGGTCTGTGAGCTAAGGGACCCAGGGGCCTTCTCCAAACTGTGTGGTCAAAAAAGAGAACCCGATTCATGAGTTCACTAACCTCAACACACATAAGACGCATTTCAAATAAACTTGAGCTATTCCATGAGGACAGATACTCCTGATTCTAAGATTCAACAGAAATCCCCCAGGGTTCTCTTAGAAAACAAACTTAAAAGTAGATTTATGCTGGTGATGGCACATGGGTGACTTGGTGATGGGAAACCCATGGGGATTACAATTGAGATGAAAAAAAAAAAAGTTCAAAATGATGTAAAAATAAACTGTTATATATATATAAAAGTAGATCTATGCATTTTATTTAAAAAAATTTATTAAATATAATTTGGCACAGAGCTTATCTGATATACCACCATCCCGGTGGTCAGAGTTTATCCAGGAGACAACCTGTGGCATATCACATAATGTAGTGCGGTGGCTCTCATCTAACCTCTGAAAGGTACTGCACTGTGGAGGCTAAACATAAGTCCTCTCTACGAGCACGTTTTTTCTCATGAAGTTCAGAGTCAGAGGCTCTAGGGTGGAGGTATAGGCTAGGCCAGCCTGGCTAATGATGTTCTCCAGCCTTGTTAAAGGTGTATCTCAAGAGAAACCAAACATGTGGTGGCATAATGAAACAGGTGGGGCTTTGATTTTTTTCAGACATTTTATAGCTTTACTCTCAGTATTTCAAACATATTAGAAAAGTTTACCTGTAGTGGAAATCTAGGTAAGTGGGATTAATCAAAATCTTTGATTTATATATGTTTTAATTTAATTTGTAATTTGAAGTAACATTGCATTATAATGATGTAAGTTTCATGTGGGCATCACTTAAAATGAATATGGCTCTGATGGTCTACTTCACCACTAAAAGTCCAATTTATTCCTTACCATATACAAATGACTCCTTTAACCTGAATTATTCGCCCTTATTTATATGGTTTTACAAAACAGAACTTGATTCCTATTCCTGTCACTTAGATCGCTGGATTGCCTTGGCCCAAGTACTTAACTTTTGAAGGTGATGGTGAGTATCAGAGATATTGCATGTAAAACATCTATTGTTAGTCCTTTAAAATTGACATCAGCTACTGTTCTCATTATTCCATATGCCATCAGTGAGGCTTGAAGAAAAGAAATGCTTCAGGTATAGAGCTGATTTTTTAAACTGGGCATTTATATAAATTTGGTGGCCATAAATAAAACCAAAAAACTTTTGCATGTATAAACTGAAGTTGCATGTTTCACCTTCATCATACCTCTTTCTCTAAAGTGATAAAACAGTGTGCATTTGCTGTAAATTTTTTCTTCTCTTAAACCACCAACCACCATATTAATCTTCCCCAAAGTATGTCAGGTCTACACAGCCAAACTTCTATTTTGGATGTGAATTTTATATCACTTGATCACCCTAAATTGCCTAGCACACACTGAGAAACTCATCATCAGATTTTGGCGTATTGCAGTCTGGAGGAGAGATTTTAGTCTGATACATGATAGAAAATAATTCATTTTTTATTTCTAGATGAATGCTTTTACAAAACAGAGGCAAAAGTCGACAGGTAAAACCACAAAAACTGCCTTCAAAACTGGTCACTTAAAAAAAAATCTACTTTGGCCCTCCCTGGTGGCACAGCGGGTTAAAGCACAGCACTAAGAAGCGTAAGCCACTTTCACATGAGTTCGATCCCTGCCTGCCCCAGAGGTGCTCCACATGGCGAGGCAGACCTCTCCTGACCAACCCACTGCTCCCCTCAGCAGTGCACTTCAGTGGATCTGCCTGTTCTGTCTCTGGTGAATCCTTTCACCCTCCGTATCTCTGCCCTGTACCCTAGTATCTACCGTGTCTCTGCCCTGTACCCCAGTATCTGGGCTTCAGAAAAGAAGATAATCAAACTGCAGTGCCTTTCAGCCCATCAGATGTGGCTAACGGTGGTGCCATCCCACTTTTCCCAGACTGTGATTCCTCTGTGTAGAGCTGTGCCCATCTCAGTACCTCACTGGCTGGTGGTTCAACCAGTGAGGTCTCTGCGAATTTGAACTTCCTGGAAAGTTGCTAGCAACTGATATTCAACTGGGCACATGGACCAAAAATAACTTACCTGTCAAGATTAAATCTGTTTTAATGTAACTTAGAAGAGTTTACAACCCTTATTTTAACTAACCTCATGGTATAATGCATATTCCAGTTATCTTTGATTATATATAATAGACTTGACATAATTTCTTTTTTACCTGAGTATTTCAAACATGTTAGGCAAAATTTAACTATAGAAGACTTCTAGGCTTAAAGTATTGAAATATAAATCTTTAATTTTGTAGAACTTTATAAAAGAAATTATGCTTTTACTGCTAACTATATTAACAATTTATAATAAAAGTTGTTTTAAGTAAATGACAACTTGTCTTTCTGGAATCTAGTGTGTCCTTTTCAAGGATTTATCCTTTTCTTCAAAGCATATAAGCCATAGTAGATTGTTGAGCAAATTAAAGAAAGAAGTATATTTATTTTTATTTTCATTTGAAATGGTTAGCTATGTGCCTAAAGATAGTTTCTATTGAAGATAGTTACAAGGAATACCTTTATACAAATTTAAAAATTATATATTTATTTATTTTACATCATTCTTCATTTTGTGCATTTTTTCATCTTGGTTGTAATCCCTGTGGACTTTCTGCCACCAATTCATCTGCGTGCCATCACCATAGTCCCATGCACTCTTCCCACCCTAATTTTGATCCTATTCCCCTTCCCACCTCCGTAAAATATCTCTGGTTTATAGTTCTTTGACTTTGTACAGATTAATATATATTTGTCATATGATTTAAAAAACCTTATAATTTCTAGAAAGTTCTACACTAGTTTATGAGTTTTCTGCAAAAATAAAATCCTTCTTACTATCATATTTTATTAGAATTAGTAATTTTATTCTTGTCATAAATACACTGTGCACTTAGGTTTTGACAAGTTTCATCCAAATGTACATTTATACCTTAACTCATTCTAACTCGGTACATACTGCATGAAGCAGTGTTCCCTCTGCTTTCCCCCACTAGCTGGCAGGAGCTGGAGAGGTAAGGAAAAACCATGGGGGAAGGCAGCAAGGAACAGGCGGGTACAAGTGTCAGCTACTGGTAGGAAGAAGAGTGAAACAGAACAAAAATTGTCGGACAGTAGAAGACTGTCCAGCATGAGGTTAATACCGTGTGCAAAGAAAGGTCGAAGTAGCTTGGAAATGAGGTGGGAAAAGGATTGGATTAAAAATAATATATAAGTGGGCCCTCCCTGGTGGCGCAGCGGGTTAAAGTACAGCCCTAAGAAGCTTAAGCCACTTCCGCATGAGTTCGATTCCCGCCTGCCCCAGAAGTGACCCACATGCCGTGGCAGACCTCTCACTGCTCCCCTCAGCAGTGCACTTCGTCGATCTGCCTGTTCTGCTCCCCACTCTGTCTCTGGTGAATCCTCTCACCCTCCGCATCTCTGGCCTGTACCCCAGTTCTGTATGAATAAAAATAAATAAATCTTAAAAAAACAAAAATACATATAAGGTGGCCCTCCCTGGTGGCACAATGGGTTAGGATGCAGCACTGCAAGCTAGCTGCAGCAGCTTCCATGCCAGTTCGATCCTGACTGGGGCACGAGGTGACCCACGTGGCATGGCAAACCTCTCCTGTCTCGTTGCACTTCATTCTGCCTGTTGTTCTCTCCCCACTCTGTCTTTGGTGAAGCCTCTAGCCGCCCCCCTGCACCTCTGGCCTGTACCCCAGTTTTGTATTAATTAATAAATAAATCTTTAAAAAAATACATGTGAGGAGACAGGTGGTAAGGTGAGATGCCTGAGCCCAGAACGGGGCTAAGATAGATCATAACATGGAATTTAATGTGAGTTCTGGGATACTCTGCTCAAGGCGGCTTGGATCGCCGCTCTCAGCAGTGAAGAGTCAGCACAGAATATTTGGGAGATGAAGTGAACATGGTTCTTATGGCTGCCTGGGCACGGGGGCACAGCCCAAGTTGTGCGCCTCAGCAGCGGAGGGAGAGGCCCACCAAGCAGGAGACGCAGGCTTTGGACTCACTGAAGTCTAGACCTGCAGCAGCAAGTGTGCAGAAACAAACCCAGCTCCATGTTCCGACAATCATTTTGCTACTTAGCAAGTCAGGTCTTTTGTATGGACCGTGGGTCTTGAAACTGGCTTATTCCAATAAGGGCTATGTTTCTTGAGTAGCAAGGTCCAAGGGCTTTATATTTCAACCCCGTCAAAAAGATTATAAAGATCATGGAACATTAAAAGCAGATGGGACAAATTCTGGGATGTCAGGGAGACAGGACCAGAAAGCAGCAAGGAATTTTTTTTTTTAAGTTTTATCTATTTATTTATACACACAGTACTGGGGTACAGATGCAGCGAGAGGCTTCACCAGAGACAGAGTGGGGAGCAGAACAGGCAGATCGAGGAAGTACACTGCTAAGGGGAGCAGTGGGCGGTCAGGAGAGGTCTGCCTCACAAGGCCACTCCCTTGGCTAAGATTGAACTCACTGAAGTGGCTCTGGCTGCTAGCTTTGCAGTGCTGAACTTTAACCCCTTGTGCCACGAGAGGGGACCCAAGCAACAAGGAATTTTAAATACCTTGGGCTTGGAAATGAGAAGGTATATTAGACTGAACACCTAAAGACAGGATGGCTTGTGAAACATTATAACAGTATGACCTGACTGCAACCCCATCCTTTGGAAAGGAGAAGAAGTATGTTAGGTAGTAGACTAAAGCCTCAGGCTCCCAGAAATGAAGTGCCCTGATTAGTTGAATCTGAGGAACAGGCATTGTCTCCCTTTTCACTATTACTATACTGAACAGCATGCACACTCTTAGAAGGAGGTAGAAAAGGTCACTGCCACATGCCCGTGGTCTGAATAACGTCATAATAGATTTATTCTTTCGGTTCTGAGGACTTACCATTTAAGATACAAATACTCTATTCTTTTGTCAACCTTAATTACTGGAAAACATTTAAACTGGCCCAGTCAAAAATCAAAAGAAAAATACCCAAACCCAGCGCAGGTTAGTTATGAAAAGAAAAAATCTTTGACTTTCATAAAAGCTTTGAAACTAACAGTATATAGAAGTAGGCTGAGAACAAGCAACAATCTCTTTTAAAACAATTTTGAAACATTACTAAGAAATGTAGACAAATCTAAATAGCAACATGATCATGATCTTCATCAGAAGTTCTGTTGTGAGAGCCCCTGGTGTTGTGACATTGAATAGAGGGTTTGAGACCCAAAGCAGGTCCAGGTTGCAGAAACAGTGCCTGAGGAGGACCAACTTCATCCCAAGGGGTCACTGACAACACAGCCCCTCATTGGCATATATGAGAGTTTAATGGTGGAAAAAAGTATTGTTTGGCAGGAAGATCATAACGTGATAGCAGTATATTCTTGGAAGGCAACTTTTTTCAATATTTTATTTTTTCATCGAGGTAATAATAGTTTCCATCACCGTATAGTTCTCAGTTGTACAGGGTCACACCTCAGCCAGTTGTACATATACCCTGCACCCCAAAGGGCCAGTCACCATCCTCCACCCACCAATCTGCTACCGGTACCCAGTTCCTCTTGGGATCTACCATTCTGTTTTCAGAATGTCTGTTTTGTTTGTCTTTTTTCCTTTATATTCCACAAATGACCAAATCATCGGCTGTTTGTCTTTTTCCATCTGACTTCTCTTAGCGTCATTGTCTCCAGTTCCAGTCATGTTGTCACAAATGGCAAGAGTTCCTTTTTTTTTAATATAGCTGAACAGCATCCATTGTGTATACGTGTCATATCTTTTTAATCCACGTATCTTTCCTTGGGCACTTAAACTGTTTTCCATAGCTTGATTATTGTGAATAGTGTAATAAACATGGAGGTACATATCCCTTTTTGAATTCGTATTTTCATATTCTTGATGTAACTACTCAGGAGTAGGTTGTTAGAACATATGATGTTTGTACTTTCAGTTTTTGAGGAAACTGTTTGCCATAGTGCCTGTATCAATTTACATTCTGGAAGAGCAAGGTTGTAATGGTAGTTTTCCTGCTTAAGAAAATGGCCTCCATGGCCCTCCCTGGTGGCGCAGCGGTTTAAAGCGCAACACTAAGAAGCTAAAGCCAGTTCCGTATGAGTTCGATTCCCGCCTGCCTCGGAGGAGATCCACATGGCATGGCAGACCGCTCCGGACCCACCCGCTGCTCTCCTCAGCACTGTACTTCGTCGATCTGCCTGTTCTGCTGCCCACTCTGTCTCTGGTGAAGCCTCTCGCCACCCCTGAGCCTCTGGCCTGTACCCCAGTTCTGTATGCACAACTACATGGACTACTTTTCCATGGACATTTCATGTCTGGGCCCAGTCTGCTCCTTCCATCAAGTCACTGCAGACCCACTGAGCTGTCAGGAGGAGGAAGACAGGGAGACCCTTTGAATCTGTTGGCAATGTAATCTAAACATTTAATGTAAGGATATCATGAAAGCTCATTAGGACCTTTTTAATTTTGAGAAAATGTGAAGTGCTTTTGGGTTGCTGATACAATTAACTAAAACAAAGATGTTACTAGAGACAGATTAAGTCATGATTTGCAGTAACCCATTAATCAGTGACTTGTATCCGCTATTGTTAGTGTTCTCATTTCCAAGACGACATGCAAAGGGAAAGAAGCAAGCATATCTGAGAGACCCCTGTCTCAGGGGAGGACTGGGGGTTCTTTGGTTCTGTACACCCCTAAAAGGAGTGATCCTATACCTCTAAATCACACAATGTTGCAAACCAGTGTCACCTCAATAAAAAAATACAAAAGAGAAAAATGTTGGCAATCTGTATATTGATGCCAAAGAAATAGGAAAACAGGGAGGAGAAGACAAAAACAAAACTTTATGATCTATCGAACTCTGTCAAGCCAGACTCCTCATCAGTCCCCTGCAGCCACCCCAGGAATCATGGAGGTATTCAGAAGGCCAGCACTTTCAGGCCACATAAACAAGCATAAATGGGAATGCCCTGAAAAATAGAAATAAGAAAACTGTTAGTATTGAAACATCTAAAAAGCCATTCTCATTTCAAGGTGCCTAGTTTGACACATTTAATATATCCATGCCTTTTGCTTCTAAAAAGTAGAGTTTAAGATGTCAA